GAGAGAGAGAGAGAGAGAGAGTGAGTGTGTTTGTTAATAATATAAACTATCCCCTAGAATTGTATCCAAACCCAGCCCTTTCCCCAATCCAACACATACGTGTAGGAGAATCAGTTTCCTCTCACTTGTCTCCCTTCTCTCGGAACGATTGTTCCATCTTTAGGGCCAGCCTTGTTTGGTTTGAGCTCTGTTAATAGGGGAGACAACTGCTTTTTAGCGCCTTTACACGTGCGAATTTGACTTCATTTGAGAGCTTTGGTTGTTTCCTGTATAGCCTTTTCATTTCATCAAACGACTCTACCATTATGGATACTAAGTAAAAATACTATTATTAATGAGAAGACACTGTGGAGACCATTTATCACATGTTTCATGGTATTCCCTCAGCTCTCCCTGCTCGTCACCGAGCAAAAAACTAGAGGCTCCCACAGACCTGAATGTCGCCCATATATCATAACCAGCGTGCACTGATACAGTAGACTGTTTGGCTGCCACAATCCTGAATGACCCGCCCTGTGACAACAAAAGTGTCCAGTGCACAGTCTGTTTGCTGAAAACCTGCCCTCAGTCGGAGTCACTTCCACAACTACCCGTTTGAGCAGACCCAAGATGTAGTAGACAACCAACAAATTGCGGAGAAAGTTTTCAGTACCTATTTTTTTTATTCCAATTGTAAACCCTGACCCACAAATCTATCTTTGTACTCATTAAGTAATGAACTCTCTGAACAACTGAGCATTTTTCAACTGACAACAAAAGTCTCCACGAGACAGCCCCACCGAGACAAATGACAGACACAGACATAAGAAGAGAGAGAGAGTGAATGTTTGAACCAAGACTTATCAGCCTGGAAGAATGGAGAGGCCCGGAGTGTTTAGAGAGCTCATGCTGCGAGATATGACCACTTTAATCCAGATATCATCTTTGCCACATATTTAGACAAGCAGCAAATGTTCATCCTGCTCCATATCTCATATCCACCTCCCCGTGTTATGATACCCCTCAATAAAATACTACAATGAATATGTAAAATATTATAAATGATCGATACCAACTAGATATTTGTGTTCGTAAGCCCAACAAAGTGCTCAAATCAAGTGCAGCCCCAGAGCTCAAAAGCAAGTATATCCAACCTGAAGCCACCTAGTTCAGTGTTTGCCAATATACAACGTAGAACAGGTGTGTGACTACAAGAAGAGCTCAGGGGGAAAACGGGCATAGTCTCACAATCTGAACATTGTGAGGATATCGATTTTGAACGCTTGTTGACATATTGTAACTGTATTTCTGTTCAACTGTCGGTTGGCTATTGTTGTAAGATTTCCCATTCAACACACATGATAATAAACTTCCAATAAAAAAACAAAAGAAATTATGAGTCCACACACTTTCTTTTAATATTGACACCCTAAGAATTTCCAGTTTGTGACTATGCCTGTTTTTTCCCCTGTGCTCTTGAACTTGGGTGTTTCTGTACACAACAAACCTGACTGGCATAACAACCACCATTCTCTCATCTATACAACAGTGAACAAAAGACTTTTCTTTTCTTTTTTCGAAGTAGCTCATTTGGCAGAAAGACAAACAAACAGAACCAAAAGAGATGTGACAAGAATAGAACCCACTGTTGATTCATTGCTGTCCATTTTCTATCAGTCAACAATAGAAAGGATGATCTATTTCTGTATGACACAAAATGTCAAGATTAAATAAAAGTTATCACGGATCGTAATAAATGTACAATATCGCTTGCATTAGAAAGATTATTTCCATCGTCTCTGACAACCAGCATCCTTTGTTCCCTCAAATTAAAACGCCAAGTAAAGACCAATGCTTCTGCTGTGTCACAAGGAAAGGTCTGTGGCAGATCCTACTTCACTCCATCCATTTTATTCCATTCCATTAAATTCTATTCCATTCTTCTTCTTCTTCTTCTTCTTCTTCTTCTTTTTCTTCTTTTTCTTCTTTTTCTTCTTCTTCTTTTTCTTCTTTGTCTTCTTTTTCGTCTTCTTCATGTACTATTACTTCTTACTAGAGTAACGTGATATCCAAAGATTTTATTATGCTAAGTTTGATTATTTTAATTGTTTAAAAAATGAGGGGAATTTCGAATAAATAACGGTCATTCAGTTCTAGAAAAAGCAACAAAAAAAAAACGAGGCAGAAAGGCAAACGAAGGGAACCAAAGGAGATGTGGCAAGAATAATCTAACGCACCAGTTACACTCTTCTCCCACACACGTGATTATGTTCCTCCCACTGGGTTCATAAACTACGCATAACATCATGCATAAAGCGATCAGCTTGAAAAAGAATTATGCCGTCGTTCCAGCGGTCAGTGACCCCATTTCTGGGTCAGTCAGATAGCCAGATGGAAAGGAACAAATAAGCTGCTTTAACTAGCAAAATGCCCATTGATTTTATGCTCCATCATAACCATCATTATTTGTAATGTTATTATTACTATTATCATTATTATTATCATGTGATGATGCTGATGATGATGATGATGATGATGATGATGATGATGATGATGATGATAATGATGATGATGATGATGATGATTATTATTATAATTAGTTGTTGTTATTGCTGTTGTTGTTG